CAGTCCAGTGCTCTGATGTCGGTCTCTGCCTCTGTTTCCATCTGTTCTTTGAATGATTTTTTTTCATCTTTTTATTTCATTTTGCATTCTAACCATGGTCCTTCCTCCCATCCCTCTTCCCACCCTCCTTACCTCAGCCCCAGTCCACCCATCATCCATTCCGGCCAAAGGGTAAGGACTCCCATGGGAGTCAATAAAGCCTGGCCCATGAAGTCGAGAAAGGGCTATGTCTCTTCTCCCTTCATTAAAGCTGAGCCTGACATCCCACCATAGGAGATGGGCTACAACTGTTGCTCATGCAACAGGGTTAGAGCCTGGTCCTACTTCCAGGGTCCCCTCAGATAGACCAAACTACACAACTGACTCCCACTTGCCGAGGGACTAGTTTGGTCCCTTGGAGGCTCTACAGCCACCATTACACTGGTAGATCATTTTGTATCTCTGTACAAATACTGAGAATTGAGAGGGAAAGGCTCTAGAAAGTAGAACCAGCACATGATTATGGTGGAGTCTGTGTGTCAACAGGGTTGGCCATGACCACCACACACCTGACTGCTGATGAGCCAAGGTATGGAAAGGGAAGAAATCGGGGAAATCCAGCAAAGGGTTGTAAAAGTCCTGACCCCAAAGGACTGAGCATCCTTAACTCTGAGCATTTTTAGAATAAAAACATATTTTTTTTTCCAGTTTGAGTTGCTTTTTCTGTTAGTAAAAGTCAAGATGTAATCATAAAAGCAAATGTATAATCATTATTATGCCTTGGGAAATCATATTACGAGCCATATTTCAAAATAAAATAGATAAAAATTAATCCTAAACACCTAACATTTGCATGACCTTCCTGTTTTTAATTGCTATAGTTGGGATATGGTTTGCAGGATGTCCTTCAAGCACTTACTTGCTGAAATTATTCTCCAAAGGCACCAAGAACAATCTCACCTTGCTGATCCAAAGCCATGTCTGTAGGTGGTGGTAAAAAGTAAACATGCTCCCTCAAGAAGCACCTTTGTGATTGTGTATTTGAAGGGAATGGAGGGAAGGAGGGGCAGGGGATGTATTTGTGTTCCCTCTCGCCTTGTAATAGTATGACAGCTTTTGACCTCTGTAAAAAAATCATCACTAAATGAGGCCTGACAAACTTTGATTTATAAAGTATCATGTATTTTTTGACATTTTTATTATTATGTTTTGACAATTTTATACATGGAGAACTGTAGTTATGTCATTTTCTGAACTAATGCAACAGTCAACTATTCCTCATGAAAACTTGCTCCAAATTAGAACTGCTTTTGAGTTCCTGAATTCAATCGTGAATAACTTCAGAAACAAATTACATGTCACATAGTTATGAACCTTGAGAAACATGAAACAAATACTCACACTTAGAAACAGAAAATTGAAATGAATATAAATAATTTCAAACATATTCATCATTGACAAGCTAGGTTTTATTTATCATCTCCTTAGGTTTTGAAAAATATTGAGAACATTTAAATATTTTAACCATTTGTATTTAACAACTTTGAAAAATGGGAGCAAGGTCCATATGTGCTACATCATCTGTAAAATGCAGTCATCAATACAAGAGATTTGGCAATGTGTACAGAGGAAGAGAGAAGAGACTTGCTGACGGCATCTTTTTTTGAGTTAGCTTTTATCTCTTTCTTATTCAAGGCACTAAGGTACAAAATTTTTTAACTATCTTAAAAAAAATGAAGCTCTGTTGCTTACTGGGATGATGCAATGCTATCACAGAAACACACACACACAAATTAAAAATGAGTAGAATTTAAATAATGAAGGGAATGCACTGACAAATTTTATGGTAAATACTGGAAATGTGCAATTTCTATTAAGGCATTCAGATACTGCATTATTGATCTGAGACAAGAAAACATCTGCACACTTGGTAAAGTATTTATCAATTGCGTGTGCACATAGGAAGGAAGTAATCTATGTATTAGGCTTATCAATCATTGTTCAAACATTTGAACATTTTCACAGATTAAATAACCCAGAAGTTCCATCATGCCCTGACACACTTATATCCTGTCATGTCCTAGCACCTTATCAACTCTGCTTCTGATATTAAAGATAATCGTCAACATGATGATTCTGCAAGCCAGTACTTCTGAGCGAGCTCCACACATGCTGCTGGATTATATCAGTACTGGGTGGGTCTATAAAACCCACAAACAGGGCTAGATTATATCAGTACTCATCCACACATATGCTGTTTAAAGATCTAGAAGCAAGACATAACTAAAAGGCTTTATGCAAAATATAAACAAGTATTGTTTATAAAGAAATTATTGATACAATGAGACAAAAACATTAATAGAAGTCAGCACAGATTGTGTCTACCAGCCTCCCTGTTTATACTCCATACACATGTGTATATACAAATATTCTAAGATGTTCAAAATAAGACAAAAAAGTCATTAAATCAGATGCTGAAAAGTTTGTTTAAGATTTGATATTGGACTAGCTTTTAAAACCATAAGGACAGTGAAAACATTAAGAGGTAAATTTAAATTTTCACACATGTAAAAAAAATCTATGTAAATACAAATTATCCCAAGGGGAAAAATAGCTCAAGTTCTTGAAATATTAATTTAGAAGCATGAAAATATTAATAATAATAAATACAAGATAAAAGGTGGAATTTATGCATTACAAAAGAAGTAATTGAAGTAGTAAAATAAGAGGATATTAAGTATTTTTCATATACTATATTGAAACTGCCAGATGTTGACAAAATATTTAGGTCCTTGGACAATATAGAAACATACATGTACCTATACTTACAATGAAAATGTAATTGTGAAATTTCTGTAAAGAATTCAGGAAATGAATTAAAATATTTAAACTGATTTTAATTCATTAATTAGAGTTTGTTTGTTTGTTTAAGATATGGATTGAAATAATCTCTGTAGTGGTTGGCAAGAATGCTTATGAGCAAGATATTTTGGCAGAAGACAAAACCAAAATGAAAAGCAATACAGCACCATATACATTAATCAAGAACTTAGTAATCAAGCCGTATGGTGGTGGCTCACACCTTTAATCCCGGGAGGCAGAGAGAGTTGGAGCTCTGTGAGTTTGAGGCCTGTCTGGTCTACAAGAGCTAGTTCCAGGACAGGTAGGATTGTTTTACAGAGAAACCCTGTCTTAAAAAAAAAAACAAAAAACAAAATATAAACAAACAAACCAAAAAAAAAAAAAGAATTCAGTAATCATGGAAATCTCACTGGAAAAATTTAAAACCATTAAAATAATATGTAAATAATTTCTTGAGCATGTTGGATTTTATCATTCCATGACATCAAATCAAAAAGTTATTGCAAAAAAAAAATTAAGGAACAATATGCAATGTGTTTTAGCAGAATGTTTCTGCAAAAGCCTTGTTATTTTTATTCTCAATTTTTCTCTCATTGATATTAGAAAATGTGCAAACAATATAATATAGATAATTTATAAAAACATGAGATTTTTCATATTCACAGAGTATTGTCAACAAAGAGTACATACTATTAATGTATGAAGTAAAAGCTGTAATAATTGGTAATAAGAAGTGACTAAACAATCCAAAATGGAAAAAGAACAAAAAAACCAAGACAAAAATGAAAAGCAAAAGACAACATTACCAACAAAGCTTTGTACATCTTTGGTATGTGGCTAACATTTTAAAGGTAATTAGTAAATTCCAAAAAAAAAAAAAAACTATTACCTTTCATTTCAAATGGTCTTGAGGTAGTACATATGAAAAGCCAATATGAAAATACCTTTGTAAAAATATCTGAGAATTAGCTAGGAATATTGATGGACAGAAGAGAGAAGTCACGTAGGACGAGCATCAAAATAAAACACATGTAAAAACCCGACCAAATGACATAACTTCACTTTGCTAGAACACCAATCAGGGCCAAAAGAAGATCCACCAGCTAACACAGACCATGCAGTCTAATCAAAGGAGGTGGAATTTTATAAAATAAGGCACTTATTTTCTGAACCCTGGGTTAGATTAATATGACATGAAGAATGTTTTTTTAAAAGATTGACTTTTCTTTGGGGTTGGTTTCTGAATTGCATAGATATGACTTCCATAACATAGGCATCTAATGAAAACCTAAAAATGAATCACAATGAATTGCATGGGTGTGATGGGATTTAAGAAGTGGCGAAGTGTCCATCAGCTGCATAGATATAGGTTATATATATATATATATATATATGAGTGTAAAATGAGGAAATATGAAAAGTAAAGCTTTACTATATAAGAACAATTAGACAAGAAAATAAAAACACTCAGATTTCAGTAAAGACACAGAAAATGTAACCCAAAATAAAAATTTTCTCTACCACCACCTTAATGTAGACTATCTAAAAATGAAACATACCAATATATGTGTTTGCATGAATGCACGTGTGTATGTTAACACTATTGCTTGGTATTAAAAACATTAAGTCAAAAGTGCAACTTAGTATTTCACTGATTTCTGACTAGCAATTTCTAAAGTTTTGAGTTGTTAAAATTAAAAAAAAAAAGAAAAAATGCTTCCATGAAAAACGTTAAAATCCCTCTTGGTAAAAAATAAACTATCATTAATTTTTTGGGGGGCACTTTTTCATAGGAGATATTAAAGCTTGCAACATTATCAAAAGGAAGGAATAAAATATGCAATAAATACAAGTATTTGGTTCAAAACATAATAAAATGTAACCAATTAAACGGTTGTGAATTTAAGAAAATAAGGAAAAATATTTTTTTTTTAAATTTGAGGGTGCAACCTATAAAACAAACCAAGCCTCTAACACGCATTTGCTTTTTCATACACACACAAGAAATGCTTCTCTACAATTCCTTGCACAAGTGCAATGGATTAAGCAGCCACCTAGTTTAGTTTTGAAGCTTACCCTTATAGCACCCTACAAGAGGAGAGCAGTACTGTTCTCCTAGCCGCTACTCACACTGGAGAGGTAGGATGTCTGGTTGTAGTTCAGTGCTTCTGACCCAGGGCAATGTTGAGGGGTTTGGAGCCCAGGACACGGCCATTCATCTCAGTCATTGCTTTAGCGGCTGCCTCGGGAGAAAAAAAGCAGATCAAGCCAAACCCTTTGCTCTGCCCTGCTTCCTGCATCACCTTAACTCTGCAAATGGACCCAAAGGACGAAAATTCCTTGCGCAGTGTTTCATCATCGATGGTGTCATCCAGGTTCTTAATGTAGAGCTTCGCCGCTTGGCGTGCGCGGATTCTTTCCTTTTTCATCTCTTCAAACTTTTCCTTTAACTCAGCCTGGCGTTCTACTTTCCTCTGAGCTCTGCCTACAAAAATGGTCTGCCCGTTTATATCCTGTCCATTCATTTCTTCAACTGCATTTTTGGCAGCTTCGTGACTATAGAAACTCACAAACCCGAAGCCTTTGGACTTTCCGTCGGCATCCTTCATCACCTTAACGCTCAAAGTTTGGCCGTATTTGCTGAACACTTCCTTAAGCCGCTCATCGTCCATATCATCGCCAAAGTTTTTGATGTACACATTAGTGAATTCGCTGGTTTTGCTTCTGAGTTCAGCCTCGCGATCCTTGCGGCTTTTGAATCTGGCCACAAACACTGAGCAGTCCCTCAGCAGCTTCCCATTCATCTCCTCAATGGCTTTGTCTGCTGCACTTTGGTCCTGGTAGTGCACAAAGCCATAGCCCCTGGAACCTTCTTCATCGCTCATCACCTTGGAGGACAGGATCTTTCCAAACGGTGAGAAGTGTTCATATAAGGTTTTGTTATCAATGGATTTGTCCAGATTCTTAATAAACACATTCCCGATTCCTGATTTTCTCAGGTATGCATCCCGTTGAGACCACATGAGACGTATGGATTTGCCTTGGACCAAATCAAAGTTCATGGTGTCTAGGGCTTTCTGGGCATCATCCAGCTGGAGAAAATTGACATAGGCATAGCCTAGGGAACGACGGGACACCAGGTCCCTGCAGATGCGGATGGACAACACGGGTCCCACTGTGTTGAACTTCCTGAACAACACATCCTCAGTGACATCTTCGTGGAGGTCACCAACATACAGGGATGCGGCACGGTACTTGGCTTCCACACTCATGCTTCTGCTATTGTTGTTTTGCTGGCAGGATTTTTTTTTGTTTTGTTTTTGATTTTTACTCCAACACTACAAGCCTGTTCCCCGCAGCTACCAAGAATGATACTTCAAGTACGGCAGCCCAATCACAGCTTAAGGCCTGTTCATTCTTTGTGGCCTCCAATGACCACTTAGAGGTCCAGCTGCAGGGCCAGTTGCACTTCCCCCAAGTCAAGCAACACTTTTATCAAAACAAACAAACACACTTTCCTGGTAGTTGGCAATCTGCCTTCAACTCTCAGGCGCGGACTTTCCTTCCCTTTCAACTCAGGAACAACTTACATGTGGCTGGCCAGGACTGGCCCTCCATCTGCGTGCACCCCAGCAGCTGGAAGCTGGTTTCGGAGCACAGACAGGCCTTGTTCCTCTGATTTAGACTTCTAGCAAGCCGGGAGCTAGCAAGGCCGCGGGGGCGTGCAGTCCAGGCCCAGCGCTGGAGGCCCCGTCCCGTGCAGAGTGACCGAACCCAGCCCGCCCACGACAAGGCTATCCGCGCGCAGCTCGCCCGGGCCCTGCCCCTGGCCACCCACCCTGCACCCCGGTGGCTCGCGGTTCCCGGGAGGAACTTGGCTGAAGACCGAGGCTCACCAGTTTGAGGACTTCACGCGGCGGGAACCCGGAACTAGCTGGCTAGCACTGTTTGGTTTTTCACATTTTTGGGGGGCCGTGTTCCTCCCCCGCCTCTCTCGCTCACTTCCCACACATACTCGTAGGGCTCAGGGCAGGAGGCGGTGTCATGGGTGGAGAAAGCGGCTGGGGGTGTGGCCGGGCAACCCACCACCGGGCTGCTCCTCCTGGTCTGTTTGGTCAAATCCAGCTTTTCCAAACAATGATCAGGATCCCCGCAATGCCTCGAGACACCCCGCGATGGCCTTGATGACATCCTTCACGCGCACCTCGTCCAACAACTTTCTGCAGGATCTCTGCATGTCCCCTCCCCACAAAACTCCGAGAAACTCTTGACTTTCTTCCAAGGTCGGCTCTTAAAATCTTTTCTTCTTAGAAAACAGTTTAAACCCTCTATGCAAAAAAAAAAAAAAAAAAAAAAAAAAAAAAAAAAAAAAAAAAAAACCAAACAAAAAAAAAAACTTTTTCATCCATCTCTTCTGAGAGTCTAGGTTTCATTTTTCAGACAGTTGTATTCTCTCACGTTCTTCGCTGATCAAAACAGACTCCATTCCAGTACAGTATGCCATCTGCATCTTATTTTCAGAGATTTACGGTAATGAGTGATTTACTGGATGTCCACTGTATTTTGAATATTTCAGCTGTGTGGAATAGGTGAGTTAATGAGAGAGTCTGGAGATAGTGGTACTTAACTCAGTGTGCAGCAGATGTTAAATAAATTAATACGTTTGGAAATGTCGACACGGTATCAAGAATGGAACAGGGTCTGTATAATAGTGGATCCACTTCTAATATTAAGTAAAATACATTATGATTCCTAGCACACCTTGTGATTTGAATCACAGTGCCCTTAAAAATCAAAACTATTTACCTGAAGAAGTGAACTGTAGATTAATTTTAAAAAACAACAACATATTAAACACGTTGCAAAACTTTAATCACCACAGACACTGAATAAAAAACATGGTTAAAAGCAAATTCTAGCTCAATAACTGAGACAGAGAGGAGACTTGACATATCTAACTAATGAGACACAGAAAGTCTGTTGTCTGATTTACATGTTGGATAGAAGGATTTTGCCTCTAATGAATCCAGAATTAATGGGGTGTTTTCTTATTTAACCAGAAAAGCGAATACGTATCTCTCCCGGGAAAGAAAATGACATTGTCTTAGAATTCATTGCTAATATAGATTAAAATTACTCCAATTTTCACTATAAAATACAAATAATTCTTAGCCTATTTAAAATTAATTATGTGGGAGTACAAAAGATACCATTCAATATGTGATGGGCTGTTGAAGAACAATTATAAAATAAGAGTATGGTGTCTGCTTTCAAATTACTTATATAATAGCAGAACATAGATTTTCTACAACAAAAGTCACTGGTCTACTGTCTATGAAGGGACTCAAAGTCAACCACTGGAAAAAAACTTGAGAACATTAGGATGCTGGGAATGTACTAGTGAAATCTTCATTATTTTATTTATTTATTTATTTATTTGAGACAGATTTCCCTGTATATTTGGAGCTTGTCCTGGAACTAGCTCTCTAGACCAGGCCATCCTTGAACTCACTGACCATCTGCTTTCCTCTGCATCCCAAGAGCTGCGATTAAAGGTATGTGCCACCATTTCCCAGCTAGGAATCATCATTAGTAGGAAATTTATTTGGCACAATTTCTTTCTTTGCAAATCTTTTTTTACCTAGAAACTCAGATACTCTCTGCATTTGCTTTCAACTTCTGTTAAAATATTCTGCTATAAACTGCAACTCAAAATTATTCCTACAAAATCTCATCAGCTGTCTCTTCCACTACAAAATGAATCAGTAATAAACGTGCATTTGTTTTTCTCCTGTAAATGTATTTCTTGCTAATGGGTTTGTTCTAACCAAGAGTCCATGGAATGCTGAAAATATCGTTTTCACTGTAATGATGGGTTTATGATTACTTATATACATATTTTGGTTGACATTGTCTTCAGATCATCCTGTTATGTGATGCTCCTTCCTAGAGAATTGTTTGTAAAAACAGGTGAGATCCTCCCCCCAATATCTTCTAGACTGTAATCTACAAGAGGGAGAAACATAATGGCATATTTATTACATATTATTATAGGTTTGTACACTATGACATTATGTACTTTCAAACTTCAGACATGTCAGTGCAATCAATAGTATAAGAACCCTTTCAAAGAAAGAGTCTACGTATGTAATTTCTGTGAAGTCTGCTTCAAGAATTTTGACTTGTTGGAAATATGACTAAGACCACATTAGCTCTTTTACAACACAGATTCACATGTGTATTATCATGAAATATTGAAAGAAATCATGTTTTTCACTATGTATTAGTCTATTTTTAACCTTTCAATTAGCATTTTGTACAACACAAGGAAGAGCTTTGAAATCCAGCACTTAGTACCATGCACTTACAGTCAAGTAAGTGCAATTGTTACAAACTGATGCTGGTAGGACTGCCATAACTTTACCTATGATGTTGAAGCAGGAAAGCTAAGAGATCAAGATTAGTTTTAGTTAAATAATGCAACTTGTACCTCTTACAAAAGAAGAAGAAGAAGAAGAAGAAGAAGAAGAAGAAGAAGAAGAAGAAGAAAGGAATGAATGAAAGACAAGATAGGACACCACAGAATCACCTAGAGCAGGGCTCATAGAGACTCAGATTGCCTGAGGAGGAAATTATTGAACTTGCATGGGTCATGGGTCTGCGTTAAATCCTCTGCATACCAAACTACAGTTTGGTGTTTTTGTGGGTCTCCCAACAGTGGAAGTGGTGGTTTCTCTGACTCTATTGTCTGCTCTTAGGACCTTTTTCCTCCTACTGGGTTGTTTCTCCCAGCCTTAATTTAAGAGCTTGTTTCTAACTTGTTAAGCCATTTTTAGATGATATCCCTGGGGAGCCAGCTCTTTTCTGAAGGAAAACAGGAGGTGTGGATCTAGGAAAGAGGTGAGAAGTATAGGGGATCTGAGAGAAGAGGGAGAGGAAACTGTGGTTAGGATGTATGTATAAGAGAAGAATAAATAAAAAAGAAGAAAAAAATCATTCTTATTGGTTAAATTGCTAACCATTATGCCCGTTCATATGCTTTCACAAAGTACTTATGGACATCAGTGAGCCTAACTTCTCTTTACTTCTGTAGCTTTCATCTTTGGTTAGTTGTGTTCTTAATAAAAACTCTATCTTTTACAATTGCCTTTCTTATTATTTCCCATTGTTTGCCCTCTTAATATTATTTCATAGATTTGATTCAGTCACCTTTTAGTCATTTTTTTCTGTCTTCTAGTCTGTCACATATTTAGCAATGGAATGATTTTGCTATCATCTCCTTCATAAGATCTTCATGAGTGAAAATAGCAATTAACTTCCAAGATTTTACAAAATTTCCCCCACAATCTAATTATGTATAGATAATGATAGATGGTGTAGGAAGTTCTTCTGTATGTGTGTTGTTTTTATCGGTTAATTAATACAGAATATATTTCAGCCAGTGACTTAGCAGAATAGAACTAGGAACTGAATAGAACTAAACTGAATGCTGGAAGAAAAAAAAAGGCAGAGTCAGTAAGAATCTATGTAGTCTCCACTGCTGGAGCCCAGCCAAAATTTTACCCTAGGCCATGACCTCGTGGAGACGCACAGATTAACAAAGGAGGGTTAAACATTAGTCAGAAAATACACTTAAGCTATTGGCCAAACAGTATTATAAATAATATAATTTCTGAGTGATCATTTTGGTCTAAGCACCTGGAAATAAACAAACAGCTTCTGTCACTAGATAGATAGAAAGATAGAAGATAGATAGATAGATAGATAGATAGATAGATAGATAGATAGATAGATGATAGATAGATAGATAGATGATAGATACATAGATGATAGATAGATGATAGATAGATAGATGATAGATAGATAGATAGATAGATAGATGAAAGATATACTTTCAATCTAATCTATCAATTACTGTATGTATTATATTTGATGCACTTGTCCAAACTCAGGAACATCCTTTATTCTTTGTTTTCAGATTGATCACAATTTATTTCTTGATTGCAATGACCTAGAAATCCCCATGATACACCCAGACTGAAGAGCACTCTTCATTGGGAGTAAGTTAAGTTTGTGAACCAAAATAGCAGAGGTTTGGAATTATGCCCACATTTATTATTAATTTCTTCTTCTCATTCCCTTCTAGTATGGAAGGTACTTCTGTCTATGTGTTGCTTTTATTGGTTAATGAATAAAGGGACTGGATTGACCTATTGCATGACAGAAGGAAGGCAGAGTTAGAGGGAAGCCATGGAGCCGCCACCAGAGACAA